TTTTTTTTCAGAATTCATACTACTATCTACTGCGGCGCTACCTGGAGAGCGTGTACCCTGGCTGCGAGGCTAAGTCCACCTTCCTCAAGCTGATCCAGAAGATCCTGGAGCTGAAGAAGTTCGCGGAGGAGATCACCGGCGTCTACCTCGACGTCAACCCCATAGAGCCGCTGCTTATGGAGATCTTCGACCTGAAACATCACGATGTATGAACTTTATGAGGTTTTTTAATTCAGCAACGGAACATCTCCGGAGTGGAGCAGTTTTGGTGTAATTTAATGTCTTTTTATAATTTTATTTGATAGAATTTTACATTCTCACTCATATTTCTGAAGGAATTATGCCGAAAGCCTTACACATGTTCAGTTTTATATGTATACTCGGATAGTTCAGATAAATCTAACGTGTCGGCAAAACTGACAACTGAACAGTTTTCTTTGAAAGATTTATCTGAAAATTAAAACTGAACGTGTGTAACGGGCTTAAGTTAGTAGTGGCTAAGGAACATTGTTAATTAACAAATCAACTAAAATACCTCACTATTCGTGTTAACAATATTTTATATCTAAGGCCCTGTCCCACCAAATTGTAAATTGTCTGATAACAATCCAACGTGTAAAATATACGATAGAAGTAACTTTGTTAAATTATCTGACAGTGACGTCATTAAGCTATCTTAGGCTCTATCAGTTAGTGGTGGGACAGGCCATAAGACTAAAAAAGATAGTAAATAAAAAGTTTTTTCCGTAATCTAGGACTAAACATTTTTTATTCATTAGATATTATAACATATCCAAGCATATTTTATTTGTTTTTTTCTTTACTTATGTATACAGAGAATATTGAGATTTTATAAGCGTAGAATTCTCTTTTATATTGCTGTTTCTCTTGTCAACGAGAATTTTCTTTGTAAATAAAAATATTTTTATATACATTAAATGTGCCAATCAAGTCCGGATTAATTTATTAGAGTATTTACGTGTAAATATTGTAAATAATAACGAAAGTACAACTTTTAAACATATTCCTTACTATATGGATATATTTTTTATCTAAAACCCCTACAAACAGTTTTTAAAATTTAAAGTTTTTTGTTGACAAAATAATTTGATTTTTAAAGCCAATTATAATCCTACATTTTTTTCATGTGTTACTATTACAGTAAACTTTTGAAATTATTAAAATGTTCAATTTTAATGTATTTTGTATGAAAAATTGTTGTATTTGATATTTGTTAAGTAAAAAAATGGATAGTATAAGGTTATATTCGTATGTTACGAGTGCGTTTCCAAATTTTGTTTTTTACAAAATTATACAATTTCCCGTACAGTTTTCTTTATGTTAAATAATCTTCGTAATTTGTGCCATTTATACACGGAGCAATTTACGTAAATTAATTTCAGAAATAAAATTAAGTAAATATTGGTGCAAATTCTTAATTTGAAATAGTTTTTGTACTGCTGTATAGTCAAATTGTATTTATGTTTCCTACAATTTTCATAATAAAAATTAGAGAACTGATGGAAACACACCTATAATGTTAGAATGTCAAATGTAATTTTTATAAATCATAAGATAACGATATCTTTTGAATAGTATGAAATGTATGGTTGTAAGATTTTATTATCTTTGCATCAATAGTCGTAGTTGTTATATCATTTAATTATAAATGTAAATATTGAGAGATTGCGTATTTAAATATAACAATATTCAATGTAAATAGCGAATGAGAGAACTATTTTTTATAGAACAAAGATATTTTCGTTATATTGTTAGGTGCAATATCCTTATTCCGTACAGAATATAAATATATATTTTAGTTTGTTAAAGTTGTTGTTTTATTTCATCCAAAGGGATTTAAATATATAAATAGTAAGAGTCGTAGAATAATAGAGTAATCACTCCACTTGAAAAAAAATTCACGGTAGTAAAAGATGCTAGCGCCATCTAATGATTAGTAGAATAAATCT